AAATAAAATAAAATTAACTATACTAATTAAAATAAGTATACCAAAATAAAACAAAAAAATATATAAAAACAAATAAAAATAAGTGAAATGAAATGAAATAAAGCACCTAGTTTTTGAGCTTTAGCATTCCAAGATATTTACTAAATTTTATCATTTATGCGAAACTCGTTTTAGTCTGGATTTTGGCTATTGTTAATATCGGTAAGTAACGGCATATTATTTTCCTTAGCATTAAAGGCAAATAATCGTTTAAAGGAAGCCCTGAAATATCGCTCTAATGTTATTTCAAGCACTAAAGTCTCATGTTGATAAATTGAAAAAATTTAAAAGGTAAATTAATGTTTTTCGAAGCAATAAAAGTTCTTAATTTTGTAGATGTATATTAGTGAAAATTTCTGTCTATGGATTATGAAAAAATATTTTCATGTAAAAAATTTGCTACTCTCATAGGTGTATTATTGTATAGATAGTTCTATGTGGCTAGGCTAAATAAAAATATTTAATTTTGCTGTTTATAGAACACATATTATTAGATTTGTGTATTAAAAAAGTAAAGAACCATTTTTGTTTACTTTAAATTTTTGCCATACTTCCTTTGAGGCATATAATACATTTTCTTAGTTTGTTTTAAATATGTTAATGAACATTCAAAAGAAGTAAAAGCAATGCTTGTGGATCGTTACAACTTCCATTTTCTCTTAAGGTATATATATATATATATTGTATTTTTCCTAATTTGCTTAAAATAATTTATTTTAACAAAAATATAAAAGTAAGGGAAGAAAGGCTAACTTCTTCTCCAGAACAAAAAACTATAAAAAATATGTCAACAATAGAATTCTCTACAATAAACAATTTTAACAACAAAAAATAAGCCTAATAAATAACTTATGAGTGTGTGTATCGACGTCTGCTCCTCAAAACCCTCCATATTTAACACTTTATTTCCATATTCACTATTWTTAGAAAAATCAACAAACCTTCAATGCTTAATAAAAACTATTTAGCACAATCTCAAATTRGTAGACAAGATCATACAGATCTTTGCAAATAACTGTAGTTTATATATAATTTTTAAAAGCGTTGCAAGCGAAATTCCACGTGCTTGAGGCGCTATAAACACTTTAAATTGAAATATTTGCCACAATAATTGTTATTTTAATTTATTTTTATTTTTCTAAATTTTGTTTTTAGAAAATACTATAATTTTTTGCGCCAACTGTTGTTTACACGAATTTTATATATATATACCGCTATATTCGACACGAGATGCCGCACAAACACGTAAACACTTTAAATTGCGATGCAGGTTTGATTTGAGAAGAATCTACGCAGTCAATTGCTAGCGCGATTGCTTAGTCACGTCTCGAAAATGTTTATAGAATTAAATTGGAAATAATAGTGGACACGTAAAAAGACCAACGAGCGCGTCGTTAGCTACTTAGTGTTAAATTATTATGAAATTTGCGCGTTTTAATAACTCAATTATTTATTTCTAATTTTTATTACTCTTAGAGGCGCTTTCATACGAAATTCTAGCAATTTATTCAAACACTTTTTTCTTAGCTTTTCTGGTTTGATTTGTTCCAAGTTCACTTATTTTTCTTCTTTTTTAATATTTTTTTAATTTCATATATTTTTTTGCACGCGCGCATTTGCCTAGTTCAGCACTATAGAATCTTTTTTGGAGGATACTGCAAGTTATACTTGTGTTCGCGACGCGCGTTCACACTGTTCTTGCGCTTTGGGCCTATACTTCGTGCCTCTTGTTCTTCCTGCAGCTAAGCACACATCAAGCGCTCACATAAACGGTTAGCCAGTCGTTAGCGCGTTGTTAGTTCGCAACTCGCGGCGGCAATACGTTCGTTCGTGCGCACTTGCTAAGCCGCGTACTTCAAAAATGGCTAAGATCGTTAAGGCAGCGCCGTGTCAGTTAGTTAGCCAAGCCGAAAATAAAACGGCAAACGTGCCTATCGTTCGACGACGTATTCGCTTGCCTTTCGATTGTAACTTAAACGTAAGTTAGCAAAACGTACTCTCGCATACGATCACGACCGACCTTGCTTCGTCAACACTATGTGACACACTGAAGCTGAAGTCGTAGCTGTAAACTGTATGCGAGCAGCGCGCAAGTCGCACCACCACCACCACCACTAGCAATAACAACTGCCAACCATACGATTTGGCGTCCAGGTATGGTCACAGATGCGCTACGGATAGCGGCAGTGGAAGCAGCAAACAGACCGTGAACAGACCAGTGGTGGTAGAAACAAGCAATCTACACACTGTGCGTTGCGTCTTCTTCAGTGTTGCTTCGGTTGCGCGCTTACCTGGTTGGCTAGCTTCAAGCGCGTTTGTACGTCGCTTCGTATTGCGCGGCCGCCGCTATCCGCTTGTGCGTCATTTCAAGTTCGAACGCCAACACGTTGCTTTTATTATAGCTTTATGCTCTTCGAACTGCTAAGGTTGCGGCGCTGCTGCCTTTGGTTCTTAGCTTCGAAGTTCCGCAGCATTGCGCTTGGTTCAGGAAGCAGCGCGCAACCGTTGCATATAGAGCGCGCTGTATCGTTTTAGCATTGTGTGGTGTTTTTCCGCTAGCGGTAGGGCGCAACTATACCGGAAGTGTTTAAATGTTATCATTGTAGTGGTGCTTGGTAGAGCTTATTGTAGCTTAATGTTTGCATATGGTCGCATATGTCAAAGAAAGGAGAAAATTGGAGCAGGAAGCGCATGTCTACAATGCTGCAGGCGACGCGTGCAAAAAAATGCATGTGAAGTCAATATATTTGATGCTATGTGTGTAAATATTTATAATAATTGTTTACGCCATTTCTACTTACAACACTTCCATACGTTATTTACCCGTGAACGCCCATGTTAGGACATGACTAGCGTGTGAATAAACAATTTCCGGAAGTTCTGCAATTATTATTTTTTAGTTATATGATTATAGTTGCGCAAAAGCTTTCAATTTGAAACTTTCAACTTTCACGCGAACCCAAAAAGCTTTTAAAGCTTTGTCCCAAACCAAAACTTTAATGGCTGCAACGCACACTATTGTGCCATCGGCATAACTTGATGAAGCTTTAAAAGTTCCAGGGCAGTATTCTGGAAATTGGTTGGTTTGGATATTGCTCTAATTTGTATTCGAAGCATAAATTCTATTAAATTTTAGGGCAATTTTTGTATCAAAGTGATTGCTTTTTAAGTTGTGCATAGTTCGAAAGCTCAGTGAAAGCTCTTACTATAAAAATTTCAACATTTTACAAACAGAAAAGCAGTTGGAGCTGTAAACACTGTTCTGTAGCATACATCGTAGCGTCCATCTTGATACAGGTCACCTTAAGGATGTTTGTGAAAGTTCTAGAAGAGTAGAATGAGGAAACTAAGCAGAACTCAGATCAAAAGTTAAGCATTGGGGAAGAAAAAAATTATTCCATATGCTTAAGGGTAGCGAAAAATATGGAAAGTCTCGGGAAAAGTATTAAAAATCTAAATTTATGGATCTCTTTCTGAGATTTTTACTCGACATTGAGTAAACACAACATTTTGATAACACTCCGCTTATCTCGTCAAACCACTTACACACAATAACAAATTAGTTTTTATCAATTTGTTCGAAGTAAGCCGTAATCCCAATAATCCAAACACCTACGCACACAGAAAACAACAACACTACTTGTTAAGCAAAAGTATCAAACTTGATCGAACCATACCATACCATACCATCGCAGCAGAGCGAACATGCAGAGATCAAAAAGCGCATGCCATAGTTTGATCGTAAACGTTATTAAAAGTAGAAGCGACGATTGATCGTTTGGTGGTGGTTTCAAGCCCGAAGTCAAACGAAACGCCATAGCAGTGCAAATATGTGTGAGTGCGAGGCTAAATGCAAGAAGCAATGCACGAAAAAGAGATGTATAGAGTATACAATGAGATCATATGTGCGATCTTGTTGAAAAGGCAGCCTGAAACAGCTAATGGGACACACAAATGCAAAAGGCAATGAAAAACACACGCACATACACACGATATATGTGGTAGTGCAAAATCAACATAGATTTGTACAAGTGTAGATGTGCACGGTACGATGGATGAATGAATGAATGAGCGCGAAATCGTTGAGCCAGCTAACCAGTTGTGGAACGCCACCAGTCCTGCACAACAGATGGCGTATAACAGTTGACAAATATTCACACAAGCACACGAATTGCACACAGGTCACACAAACACAGTCACACATGCATGAATGCAAAAGCTACTACCGTATAACAGTTGCGCCGTTGGCATTGCAAGCCACAAGCCCGCCAGCCAATAAAACGCTTCGGCGCATGCACGGCGGACACTAACACTAATGCCGCGCTAACGCATGCGCACAAAACACAAGCACAGCTGTTAGTCATCGGACCAATTGCAAGCGTTGGAGCGACTATTAGACGATAATAGAGTTAACAATAGAGAGCGGGCAGCACAGGGGGTTGGCGACCATATTGTAGTGCACAACAAGGCGGCGACGTTGGACAATGGCGATAGCGCGGCATTAGCCACGCTTTGCATTTGAAAATTAAACAGAAAAGAGTGAACACACACACAAACATATGCACATAGCCTAGCGACAAGGTGGGATTGAATATGTGCGCGCACTGTGGGGAACATTCATGCGTGTGCGTAACGCACTTTGCGCCGCTCATGCGCACATCTAGCAATGGACGGCAACTGATGCACTCTCACTTCAGCCACAACAGAATACAGAAAAAAGAACAACGCAATAACACAAATACATTGCCAAGCAGGCAGGCGAAAAAATATTAATGCTAACGCTAACGCGCCCAGTGGCAATTCCACCGGATTTGGGGGGCCAAGTACTTCGGGTACGCTGCAACACACTCACCTTCGTTCCGCCGTGTTGCTGGTGATGTGCGGTGCCGCTTATCACGCCACCATTGGTAATGCTGTTCGTCGCATCGACGATGGTGCTGCTGACGCCGCTTTTCGGCTCCTTGCGCAGATCTTCCGGCTCGCGTTTGATGCTGATCGTCTGTTGCGCCTGTTGTTGTTGCCGCTGCTGCTCGGCGGTGACCACTACAGCTGTGGCGCCACCAGCTGCTGCTGCTGCGGCAGTGGCCGCTGCCACAATGGCCGAGTGCTGTGAGATGGTTGTTGGCGTTGCGGATGCGTTGCCGTTGCCACCGGCCGCCGATGGGTGTGAACCAAGCAGCAGTCCTTGGAATTCATTTTGCGATAGGCCGGACACGTCCAGAGGTGTGGTTTGCCCATTCAATTTGTTGTTGCCGGCCGTTGGTGTGCTGTAAAGGAAGAATAGCAAGAGAAAAGTGGAAATTAGAAAATAGAAAAAGTAATTAGCTAAGTAAAAAAGTTAATGAGTAAATTACGCGTGAGCGAGTTTCGAACTAAGCTAAGTAAAACTAGTGCGGGTTGGTTGCACGTTGCAGCTGCTGCATGCGCGGAAAATTGAGTGTTGGCTGTTGCAAGCAACAAGCGTTAAAAGTGCAATTGGCGTACTCTTTCCGGCCGCTGATAACAATTTTCAATTTGCATTTGGCTAATGGCTCGTGCTTTGTCCTCACGTCGCTCTTTGGCTGTCGGCGCAGCCGTTTAACGGTTAGTCACGGACATGTACGAGTGTTATTGCTCTTGAATATTGTTGGCGCGTGCGCAAGTTTGTGACGCTGTGCAAAATTACTGCACTGGACTTTGCTCTCTGCATTTTTGCAATAATTGCAATAAATGCACGGAATTATGGGCGCAAAAAATATAAAAAAAAAATAAATAACAAAATATATTTGAGTAGACTATGTAAGTACTTGGTTGATAAGCGTTTTATAGGGGACTGTTATAATAAATTATTTAATAGATGAGTTTTCTTAGCATATTACTTATATCTATTGTAAAATTGAAGTCAACTATACTCTGGTTCCGTGCTGACGAACTTTTTTTTTGTAGAAAAGGGAAAATATCAAGATTACCTCCTACAGCATAAATGGCTAAGAAATATTTTATATGCAATTACTCTGACACTGATAATTTTAAATCTATAATTTTTATATAATATAATAATAAATAACAATCTGTCTGAAGACAATCAGCAAATTTTATAAATACAACCATCGTAACAGGATTGATTGGGCGCCATTGAGACTAATCAATAAATTCTTCAATAACAAAAGTTGCCACTTTTAATCTGTCTGGAAGGTCCAAAATGTGAATTATTTTTAAATTTATACTAAAAATAAAAACAACATGTTTAAATAAAAAAACATATACAATATATCTAAGGAATTTTCTTAAACACTATATAATTGGACTTGAGTAGTAAACATTTTATCAAATCTTTCGAGCTAACAAAAATATTTCCATTTTTAATATGAAAAATATAAAAAATTCTTAATCTGATTTTTATTAATCTTTATATTTGACATATTATTGCCTTCATTTTCTCCACTCAAGCTCTAAAACTAATATTAATGTCTTTCGTTACAGTTTCTATTGGAAAATATTCTGGTTGTTAATATCCATATATTCACCTAAATTCGAAGTAATCGAATTCGAAGTAAAGTAGTGTAACATCACTTTTCGTATCTTTACAGGCGAAGGAAGCTCAAAATTTTATAATACATACATATATTATATATGATATATAAAACAATAAAAAACAAATTTTTTTTTTGTTTTTTTTTTTTTTTGATTTGGAATGGTTAAAGAGATTTTGTTTCGTACAATTTAAAAATGGTAAAAAATTAAAAATATAATAATAGGTTGAAACTCATTGTCAGTAGATGTGTTTGCAGTCATATATCTCCATTGCTATCAATCACATTGTGTTATACCATACAATGTTAGAAAGGTAAGATTACTTCGTTTAAGCAAAAAAAAATTTAAAATCGGGGAAGTTAAGAAAAGTTGCAGCTGTTCAAAAATGAATGAAAATAATGAAGAAATATAAAAAGGAAAAAGGGAAAGAGAGACGATGCTGTATCAGTTCGTTTAGCACACGGATGGTTTGCTCACTTCCGTTTTGGAATTTCGAAATTTCGATTTACACTGATGAAAGTTTTTGACTGATGAAATAATTTTATAGCGGAAAAATAGCAAAAAGAAATCGACAAAAATGGTACATATATTTATTTATTATTATAAATATTAAAAAAAAAAGTACGTTGAAGTTTGCTTAAAAATACAAAAATACTTTTTCGAACACCCAATATCAAACAATTTTTCTATCGAAAATTCTCACATCAAAGTATCCGCTTTTTAAACAAAGTCCGTGAGCGTTGTCTTACTTGTAATCTCTGCTTTTTTATGGCGTAATTATACATACATATATTATTTTTCTTCTTTAGTGACGTAACCGGTGTCTACGCTATCATTACTATAATATTTTTTTTTAGAAAATTTTAAAATTCTACTTTTCTCTGTCTTTTTTTATCTATTTTATCTATCGGAAGGTTCTAGTTTAAAGAATGCATCGAAAGGACAATCGCGGTCGTATAAAACCTTGAATGACCCTATGACGCTCGCCAGTAAAGTTAAACTAAATAACTTGCAACAATTCGCTAGATTGTGGCTAGACTTGATAATTATGCTTTTCTGAACACCAACAATACAGTTGATATTATGGAAAAGCATTGTGAAATTTTGTGTCTCTCCGTTTAAACCTGAACATTATTTGAAGTAATGATCTTCCTCTGTACTTTTCTAACATTATTTTCTTTTGCAGTACTAAACTAAATGCCTCGTGATGGTTTCTAACGCATTACTAAGCTTTCTTTCTTCAAAATTATTATTGTTATTTTGTCTATACAAGATGCAGCAATATAATTTTTTTTCGTTGCCTCCCTTTGGGCAATATTTCTCAAGCATTCGTTGCTTTAAATATATAAGTAGGAAATCAACGGTCTTATGAAGTTTATTCAGAACTATGGGATCGAGATTCCAGTGGCTGAGTTCCTTTCTGTAAGGTTATCAATTATTCCTGGACATTAGACTTCTAGTTCGAAGGTAAGCGGAAAAGAAGGCAATCCCATAAGTCGACAAAAAGTATCTTCTTCTACTTATTACCAGTTAGAGCGCAGCTATTTGATTAAATATATACCTATACACCACGATTTTATGCAATTTTTTACTCATGATTGAAGAAATCATTGAAGTTTTTGTTATGAATAATTGTAAAAGAACCCTGATAACCTAATTGCATACAGAAATATTCATCTTTTTTCTACAATTATTAAAAAAAATAAATATTGGAAACACCAACGTAAAAAGGCAAATCTGGCAGTAGTACACCAACGACTTCTACGAAAATACGTAACCCCTAAGCGGCGCGCTCAACCGCAAGTGTAGCAATTTAACCGTCAGTTCACTCCACAACAACAAATACAGCATTTAGTGCAATAATAACAACAGGTATCCTGCTGTTAGCAACAAAAGACTCCACTAGCTGTTGCTGCTGCACTTTGCGGTCATGCTGCCTGCCAAAACGGTACCCGCGTACACTTTGCGCGCTTGCACATTCATGTTGTAAATGTGATTGCGACACCTAAGCCACTGCGATTGTAGCAACACAACAACAACAAGTGCCTGCTCGACTTAGGCGCAACACTCCTGCTCGCCTGCTGGTTTTTTGGCCTTTTCGCGGAACCTGTTGCCAGGCGCTTTGCACGCTTCGCTGCACTTGAATTGCAAATGCTTATGCACATTTGTGGTTTGTGCAACGGTCAATTGGTGGCTGTGAAGTTTTCTCCACAAAAAAACATGAAAACATATTCCATCAGTTTGGTTGTTCACGGGTATACCAGCTTCATTGTTGTTGGCAATAGAATGCTTGCAATTTCGCACGGCAGCAGTGGCGTTAAATTGTTGGCGCGTGCGCGCAATTTTCTTGTTTTTTTCTTATTTAATTTGTTTTAGATTTATGTTTTTGCTTATGAGGCGCCGCTGTTTATCGTGCATTCTTGTTGCCTTCAACACGTTCTCCCACTACTTCAGAATGCTAAACAAAGTGTGCGTCCATGTTGTTGCTCTGTTATTGTAATTGTTTTGGTTGCGGTTGTTAAGTACTCGCGCGTTTAGTGCTTTAGCGGCAATCCTGTTTCAGCGCGCACGCGCGTGTATGCTCAACGCTTAATAGCCACGCAGCCGTACAGCACAGTAAACAATTCGGCGCGCATGCGCTTTATGCCGTGCATTGCGCAGCGCTCTGATTGATTTTGCGCACTCGTTTCGCATAAGCAACACCATCGCTTATTCCTGTTGTTCCTGTCACGCTTCGCGCCTTGTATGCAGTTGTTATTATTGTTTTTCTACCACTTGCAGTTGTTCCTGTTCTGCTCGCTTGTTTATGCCATTTCCAGTTCTAGGTACATTTGTAATTCCTATTTTTTGTAGCTGATTTTTGAATGCAGATCGAGCCAGTTTTTCTGCCTTCCTGACAAGCCACCAGCCACCTCGCAGCCATATGCCGCCTTGCTCGTGTGTGTGAACGTGTATACTGCATGTTCCTGCATGTTGTTGCGGGGTGTTACAGACTTAAGTACAATGTTGTTGGCGTCGGGCGAGTTTTCGAGCTGGGAGGCGTGCAAGTGCACGCGTGAAGACACCTGTTCGCTGGCGCCGTCACAAATGTGTTCGACAACAAGTTAATCAACGGCGATGGTGGTGGTGGGCGAAATCATGTGCGAGCACTCGAAAAAGCAAAGCGACATTAACACGTTTTCGTGATGTAAGGAATTTCGACCTTACGAATTTCTAGTCTTTCGACGAGTGATTCAAAAATGTGTTGGTATTTTAAACATGCTTAAGACTTTTACGAAAATAAATTTTGTTTTTTTTTTCGAAAAATCCCAACCAGAAATTTATGTGGAGAGAGAATATTCAAATATGAATGTATAACTTACAAAAGCTCTTCAAAGAAGCACACCTTTAGGGGCAAAAGCTCAAAGGCAAGGCTTAAAACAATGAACAATTTTTGTTTTGAAGCTTCTGTTCGGGTATATTGTAGTGTCTGGTATCTGGAGAAACAGTAATATATTATCGAAACCATAACACCACATTGCTCTTTGGAGATATCAAAGAGTAAGAAAGGAACAATTAGTCCTGGGAAATATTAAAAAATATTTAATTCGTCTCAATTTAGTACTGTTTGCCGGATTATGTGATTTATTAGACTTTTTGAGAATAAATATTAAAGTACTTTTGCTCGACAAACAGACCTGGTCTTATTGTTTGATCTCTCACTCGAGAAATTTCATTTTAAAGTGAGCCTAAGCAACTATCAGAAAGGAAATGA